TAAAAGAAAGGCTCAGTCCAGACAGATTCAACTAATGACATAAAATTTGGCAGCTGGGGACTGTCCCCACTTAGTTCGAGATGAGTGGGGCTTTTGCCAGCGGATCCAGCTTTCAGGAAGGAAAAGGAGTGGGGATAGGATAAGGGAAGTGAAAGTGTCTACTACATAAATAGCAGGCCAATCCCAGCCCACGCACAGACCCCCAACTTGCGGCTGCCCACCTCGCCCACAACTCTGGCCTCTTACTCACTCTCTACCATAGCCATGGCTCAGTCGCTGGCTCTGAGCCTCCTTATCGTGGTTCTGGCCTTTGGCATCCCCAGGACCCAAGGTACAGGGAGGTGCAGGGAGGGGCCTTGGATGGGGCTAAAGGGATCAAGAGGCCTGGGTAGGAGCTTGCAAGCAGCCTCTGGCTCCCTGTGAATCCCACCCTGCAGGCAGTGATGGAGGGGCTCAGGACTGTTGCCTCAGGTACAGCCTAAGGAAGATTCCCGCCAAGGTTGTACGCGGCTACCGAAAACAGGAACCAAGCTTAGGCTGCTCCATCCCAGCTATCCTGTGAGTAGACACAAAGGGGTTGGTACAGGCTGGCGACTGGGTGGGGAGGGCATAGTGGGTAAGACCAAGAAGGCTGGCTAACCACCCCCACAACGCCCTCAGATTCTTGCCCCGCAAGCTCTCGCAGCCAGAGCTATGTGCAGACCCGAAGAAGCCCTGGGTGCAGCAGCTGATGCAGCATCTGGACAAGACACCAGCCCCACGGAAACCATCCCAGAACTGCAGGAAGGACAGGGGGACCCCCAAGGCTGGCAAGAAGGGAAAGGGCTCCAAAGGCTGCAAGAGGTGAGGAATTTGAAGGGATATGGGTAAAGGGGAGCCTCGATCAGCCCCTCACACCCCTCTTCTGCCCTCACAGGACTGAGCAGTCACAGACCCCTAAAGGGCCACAGCCCAATGAGCAGCCTGGAGCCCTAGATACCCAACCAGCCTCACCAGGGTTTGAAGCCTGAACCCAAGAGGCAAGAAGGAGGCTATGCTCAAGGGCCCCAGAGCAGCCACTCCATGCTAGCCTTGCCACACTCTTTCTCCTGCTTCAACAACCCCATCTGCATTCCTAGCTCTACCTGCATGGCTACATTCCCAGCTGTACCCACACCAGGCCAGGCCCAGAGAGGCCGAGGAGGGAGAGTCTCCCAGGGAGCATGAGAGGAGGCAGCAGGACTGTCCCCTCGAAGGAGAATCACTGGGACACTGGACCTGATCCTGCTCCCCCAGTGCACCCCGCCTCTTCCTTGTAAATACGACTTATACCAAACTGAATAAAAAGCTGTTCTGGCCTCCCACGCAACTACCCGTTCCTATGTGTTTGTGTCCTCTGGGATGCCGAAGTCCCTACAGGGTGGGGTCACACATTCTGAGCCAAAAACTCAGGCTGACAAATGCTATGTTCCCATCTACCCCAAGAGTTCCCTTGCCTCTCAGGTGCCTGCACCCCTGGGCAGTTAAAGGGAGGTTGATGGACAGGGTGGGACCTGGTCTTCTGAGGAATCCTACCAATGGAGAGATGGTGGACATGGAGCACACACCCCCAACAGCTCTGCCAGCCTCTGAGACCCTGATTCTGTATAGCACTAACTCCAGGAGTGACCTTCAGATCTTTTCCCAGCTATCCCAGAGACTTCCTCTCCTTTCCCTGGGACCTATTCAATAAGAACCTCCAAGTAGTTCTTTGGAACGGTCCCCAGGAGGGAAGCTGTGGCCTGAGCCCATCTATAACACAGACAAACACAAGTTCTTTTTTTTTTTTTTGAGACAGAGTCTTGCTCTGTTGCCCAGGCTGGAGTGTAGTGGTGCGATCTTGGCTCACTACAACCTCCACCTCCCAGGTTCAAGCAATTCTCCTGCCTCAGCCTCCTTAGTAGCTGGGATTACAGGCATGGACCACCACACCGAGCTAATTTTTGCATTTTTAGTAGAGATGGGATTTCACCATGTTGGCCAGGCTGGTCTCAAACTCCTGACCTCGTGATCTGCCCGCCTCAGCCTCCCAAAGTGCTGGGATTACAGGCATGAGCCACCATGCCCGGCCCAAACACAAGTTCTATTGAAACCTACCCTAGCACAGCTCCAGCCCTCAGAGAGCTCCTGGAAGGTAAAGACCCAAGAGGACTTGCTTCAGCCCTATTCAGTGAAGCTCAGGCCTCAACCTCTCCTCTTTAATGGGGTGGTTGTGTTCTCCTATTCCTATCTGGGCCCCCAGACTCCCTCAGCCCACTTCCAGATGGAAAAACTGCCTCCCTTTTCTTTTCCTCCCTTTTTTTTTTCTGGCTGGGACCCAAACTACTTTAGCCCCTTAAACCTCTCAAAGTCAAGGAATAAGTCTCCTGGGGCAGGTCTTTGGAACCCCAGGATTCAGATGCGAATCAGTCTCGTCTCCTGGAAGGAGCCATCTGGGTAGCTCTCCTCTACCTCTTCCTCCCCAGAGTGAAGACCCTTCTATTCCCCCGCTCACCTCCAGGCAGGGAGAGAAGAGGCCCTCGGATTGGGCCAGGCAATGTGGGAAAGAAGGGAACAGATCCTAGGCAAGGGCAAGAAAGGGAGGGACCTCTGAAGCTAGAAGTGGCTGCTCCATCACCTTTTCCTTCCACAGGAGCCTGAGTACACCACAGCACTTACCACCTATCCTAACATCCTCAAGAATAGGCTTGTCTGCTCCTCTTGTGGCAGGTGAGGACAGGGGCTCCCCGCTACCTGTCCTAGGGCAGCAGGTGTGAAATTAGTCTATAAGCTCAGATATGCGAGAAATACTACATTTTGAATGTTCTTTAAATGAACCTAATTCCTACACCAAGCAACTGCACTAGAGTGCTGATGAGAAATTCAACATCAGGTACTTTTGGGGGATCCCATCTGCCAAGGGTTATGCAAAGGTCACAGAAACCTCAAGGTCCAGGGGAGGCCTCCTATCTGCCTCCCACACCATCCCATCATTGGACATCAGTCTCACCAGTGGGTGCTCTGACCCCTGTGGTTCCAGCAGGTATATCTTTTCAAGTCCTAGACTCCACACTTGAAACATGGGAATTCAGATATGACAGCCCTTGGGCTTGGACCTACCCTCCCCAGATACCCCCTGCAGCCATCTACTCAGAGTCCTGTCCCTTGCCTCATCACAGCCAAAAATTAGAGCCCAGTGCCCACTCTGGTTGGATGTACACACTAATCCCTTCACAGTCTTAAAGAATTATCTCCCTCTCCTCAGCCCCTCCATGGCATAACCTCCTCCCCAGGTTTACTTTTTCTTTTAATTTTTATTTTTTTAAGACAGGCTTGCTCTGTGGTCTGGGCTGGAGTGCAATGGTAGGAGCATAGCTCACTGTAACCTCAAACTCCTGGGCTCAAGGGATCCTCCTGCCTCAAGCTCCAAGTAGCTGGGATTACAGGTGTGAGCCTCTATGCCTGGCATTTTCCCCTGGTTTAAGACACTCACAAAAAGCACAAGAGCCTTTGACATCAGGCTCACTTTGACATCAGGACATCACTCTCAGCCCTGCCAAAACTCTTTCCTACTCTAAAGTGAAAAGAAAAACAGAGGCAGAAAAAAACCAAAACTCCCTATTTCACTAAATTCTCCTGCCACACTTGCATGCCTGGTATTTGCCTCAAATTCTGCTGTGAGTAGCCATGCAATATATTATTTAATCCGTCAGATAATGAGTGACCACTCTGCTTGTCTGCCTTCACCTTTGACAATATCATCCTGTTTTTTCTCTTTTTTCTCTTCTTCTCTTGATGCATAATTCAAAAAAAATCACACAATACATACTCACAGTTAAAAAATATATCAAAAAGTACCAAAAGGCTTATTCTGAATAACATCATTTCCTACAACTTTAACTCTTATGCTATTTCTTAGTGCCATATGTCTAAGTACTTTGCCTATACCTCTGTTTCTTGATTTACCTATTTTAAACATTACCAGATGACTTCCTACTATAAAAAGCAAAGATTTAACTCTCTTGCCAACTCTCCTCTCCTGTCACTGCATCCTCTATATATAGTCATACCATGATATTTAGATCATGATTATATTATCATATTTAGATTGTAATTACAGTATATTATTGTAGATTACTATTACATAACATGTATTATCACATATTACATTTTTTGACTATATAAATGTTCTCTGCAGACCAAAGTAGTGCACTTTTCCTTTGTCACTCAGCTTTTTGTTTTTCTTAAAGGTTCTAATGCCCTTCCCTTTTAAAAAGTACCTCTATCTTGACATTGCCTTTCAAGTTCTTCATCATATAAGATGGATTCAAAACATAAATGTTTAAGATACACATAGAAGAAAATATAGGTAAATGTGTTTATAACTTCAAGGTATAAAAGAACTTTGTTTTTTAATGAAATAGGGACACAGTCTCACTATGTTGCACAAGCTAGTCTTGAACTCCTGGGCTCAAGCGATCCACCCACCTCAGCCTCCTGAAGTGCTGGGATTACAGGCATGAGACACTGTGCCTGGCCAAAAAGAGCTTCTTAAACAAGACATGAAACCATAAAACATGAATCATAAGAGAAAAGATCAACACCATTAAATTCAAAACAAGTTGCAGTTCAGGGTAGGGATGAAAAATTAATTACATGCCTTTATTTTCACATCTCCCTGAGCCCCAACTAAAACTACAGCAAATATTTTTGGTGTATGTGCGTATGGAAATGTATAAGCCAAGTTCAGGCATGGTGGCTCACACCTGTAATCCCAACAGTTTGGGAGGCCAAGACAGGAGGATCACTTCAGTTCAAGAGTTTCAGACCAACCTGGGCAACACAGTGAGACCTCATCTGTACAAAAAAAGATCAAAAAAGTAAACAGTGTGGTGGTGTGTGCCTGTGGCACCAGTTACTAGGGAGGCCGGGGTGGGAGGATCACTTGAGCCCGGGAGCCATGTAGCCTGGGTTAAAAAGTGAGAGACCCTGTCTCAAAGAAAACAAATTAATTTTAAAACAATAAAATAAACGCATAAACCCACAAGGGCCCAAATGGAAGAGGAGATAAAGGTAACTTTCTAAAAGCCTACTGCTGAGACAAGTAAATATTTCAATAAAAACAGGTACAAGCCAGGCGCGGTAGCTCACACCTGTTATCCCAGCACTTTGGGAGGCTGAGGCGGGCAGAGCACCTGAGGTCAGGAGTTCAAGACCAGCCTAGCCAACATGAAGAAACCCCATCTCAACTAAAAATACAAAAATTAGCTGGTTGTGGTGGCATGCACCTATACTCCCAGCTACTCGGGAGGCTGAGGCAATAGAATTGCTTGAACTCGGGAGGCAGAGGTTGCGGTGAGCCGAGATCGCGCCATTGCACTGCAGCCTTGGCAACAAGAGTGAAACTCTGTCTCAGAAAAAAAAAAATAGGTACAAAGCATAAAACAAAGTTATAAATATGAATTATTTCTAATGTCTTATTCATGAATACAGTAAAAAATTCACATTTACTGAATATTCATATGCCAGTGTCCAACAGGAAAACAATTAATAACTTCTGCTAAAATGTAAAAACAAAAAAATCCTGAAAATGAATTATATCTAAAATCTTCATTCCTTACGCATGAAAACTCGTTGTAATCCCTGGAATCCTGACTTTTCTTTATCACAGAATCACAGACGCACTTCATTGCTTTATAAGTCAGTTATCACTATTTTCTAACAATGAGTCCCCCTCAGTGTCATCCAGAAAACTATAATACTATGTATTTTTGTTGTTTTTATTTGTTCCTTTTTTGAGATAGGGTCTCACTCTGTCACCCAGGCTGAACCAAGTGGCTTGATCTCAGCTCACTGCAGTCAATCTCCTGGGCTCAAGTGATCCTCCTACCTCAGCCTCCTGGGTAGGTGGGACTACAGGCACACACCACTATGCCCAGGTAATTTTGTTCACTTTCTGTACAGATGAGATCTCACTATGTTACCCAGGCTGGTCTTAAACTCCTGAGCTCAAAGGATTCTCCCACCTTGGCCTCCCAAAGTGCTGGGATTACAGGCATGAGTCACTGTGCCTGGCCATACCATGTTTTTAAATAATTTCACCACTATCTCTTCCATGAAATGATAACATACACACACTTAAAGAAATCACAGGATGACTCCTACTTGTCAGTGTTGCCTCAGAATCTCCCCCTGCTTCTCCCAGTTCACTCCTTCCCTGTCAATATTTTAAAGGCTTCTTTGATACAAATATAAAGGATAGGCAGGACTAGTAAAGAAACTGGGCATGGTAGCTCATGCCTATAATTCCAGCACTTTGGGAGGCTGAGGCAGGCAGATGGCTTGAA